AGTCAGATTACAACAGTCAGATTACAACAGTCAGATTACAACAGTCAGATTACAACAGTCAGATTAGAACAGGCAGATTAGAACGGGCAGATTAGAACAGTCAGATTAGAACAGTCAGATTAGAACAGTCAGATTAGAACAGTCAGATTAGAACAGGCAGATTAGAACAGTCATATTAGAACAGGCAGATTAGAACAGTCAGATTAGAACAGTCAGATTAGAACGGGCAGATTAGAACAGTCAGATTAGAACAGTCAGATTAGAACGGGCAGATTAGAACAGTCAGATTAGAACGGGCAGATTAGAACGGGCAGATTAGAACAGTCAGATTAGAACGGGCAGATTAGAACGGGCAGATTAGAACAGACGTACCTGGGAACCACTGTTCGATCAGACTGTTAACATGATCGGTGATGAAAGCCACAGCAGAGAAATCTCTGGAGTCTGACTGACAGCTGATCTTTATTCCTCCACTCTTCATCTTCTTCCAGTTCACGTCTGAAGACTCCACACTGCAGACACACATCAGCTGCTCTCGTTTGTTAAAGGACACTTTTATTCCTACAGCAGGAGTTATCCTGTCTCTGACCTGAGGTGACCTCCAACGAAGGTGACCAGAAGCCCCTCCTTCCAGTAGATGGTCTGACTGCGTCGGACCCTGAAGGTGCTGCATCGGTTCTTCTTCTCGCTTCCAGTGAAGCTGTAGATGAGCGAGTGCCTGTGAGGCTGACTGCACGTCGTCTTTTTGGACAGATCGAAGAACTGCACCGAGACAACATCTAAAGTCAGACACTTGTCTGTCACTGACCAACAGAGAGGTTCTGACTGGACCAGTACCTGCAGGTCCATCTCTGTCAGACTGATGAGCATCCTGGCGATGAAGCGCTCCCAGAACCCTGCAGGAACGAAGCTCATCTTGAAGAGCCGTTGGAGCGTGTTGTTGGTCCTCTGCTGCACGTTGTGGAGGTCCATGGCTGGTTTAGGAGGAAGCAGGTGTGGCAGCAGGTAACTACAGCAACAACCAAGGAACAAAAGAAAACGTCAACATGGACTTAGAAGAACCTTTCTGCAGGTCCCACCACAGGTTTTGGACTCGGCTGCAGCACCAGGAGTGGAACCCGTTCTATTTTGACTCGGTGTACTCAGATCTTTTTGTTCAGTTTAGATTAAAATCACTTCAGAACCTGACAAAGATCTGGGCTCAGATTTATAAAGGATTGTGTGGAAACCACACTAAAAGTGAACGTACGCCAAAAAATATTCACATTTATCAAACCATGCGTACACATGTTTCTGCACCTTTATAGATCACATCTTCACCTCAGAGTTTGGACCAAGGTCCTCCTCAGGTTCTACCCTCTACACGCCCACACTCAACCATAAGGTCCTCCTCAGGTTCTACCCTCTACACGCCCACACTCAACCATAAACAGTCAATGTAAAGTACCTCATGAATGTTAAGATGTATTTAAATCAGTCAGATGATCAGTGATTGGTTCAGACAGGTGCTGACTGACAGCTGCTCACCTGAACACAATGTCTGGAACTGACACAGATTTTACTCATTTCACAGGTTTACAGACGTTTACAGATGTTTACACATGTTTACAGATGTTTACAGATGTTTACAGATGTTTACAGATGTTTACAGATGTTTACAGA